TTCTACAGGGCTCCATGTATGTGAGGACAAAACTGCCCAAATACAGTCACTAGCTAAAAAATAACGTATTTAATAAAAGAATGTGTCAAAAATATTAGCCGAATGACGGTCATGTGGTTTTTGAAGAGTATCTACAACAAAAAGGACATCCTTTCACATATATACCCCCGAAAATGATCACATTAATTTGACTTCCCTACTTTAATACACACTTGTAATAAAAATGACACTTTTAAGAGGGAACAAGGACGATAAAAAAACAGGAGAAGACAAGTAAAGGTAGAAAAAAACAACAGACAAACAAACAAGTATGGGGACATAGGGCATTTACTGTGTCTAACAGAATGCGAACTCGTCAGAAACTCTCTTATTAATATATTACATTTAAGCAGTACAAAACGGTGCGCTTTACGCCCTGTCTTTAATGGGTCTTAATGATTAATCCCCATTTCCATAACAACCTATTTCTCGAGGAAAAATTTGGCACATTTCAATTTTTGACCTTGCTAGAAAATGTTCAACCAATGACATGAAATTTATGTAAAGATTAACAGCTAAGAGTAATCGCAGATTAAAAGAGTGCGTTTGACCTTCTTTTTAGCTCTTCGAAAAGTGCAGAACTACCGGCGTAGAGGTTGGGTGGGGACTTGTATGTGTGATTGTGGAAATAATTTGAAACCGTTTCTACAAGCGCCAACATCTGCCATCTGCAATTAGAGTGCGCGCACACATTGCATGAAAATTACAATCGCAATTATAAAAAACGGAAATGTTAGGTAGATTGAACGAGGCAAAAAATGAACATTAAACCAGGAAAATACTCAAAATAGCGGAAAAAAAATTAACTTTATAATAGCCAGCCTAGTCCGTAGGCGTTCTCGTCGCGGTCAATCCTGGACTCTACCGTGAGCTGTGACGTCACCGGGAGATACTCGCCGAGAACTCGCCCGCTCTTTCCCAGACTTCGCGCGGACAAAGGGTCAAGAGAGAACGCCTAGGGACTAGGCTGTAAAATAGTTACTATGACCCCAATGCTCACAAAACCGAGTGCGAGAAAAGAAAAACAGATCAAGAAAAGAAGGGATTCTAATCACACTGTTTTAAAGTAACATGTCTTCCCAGATCGGGCATCGACCATTCTAGACTTACTCAAAAGAAAAGCTACAGTGAGGACATTTCACTTACCAACACTAGCGAAAACAAAAAGATTATAAAGGGGTCACCCTGTAAGTACGCGCGTGCATGTGCATCGTGACAAGAAATCTTAACTCATCTCAAAACAAAATCAGGCTTGCGTTCTCCTTCGTCGAATCAGCAATACTCACAGCCTAACAGCGCAAGTCACGTAGTCACTTGCTTAGTACCCATGGAATTGACTGAACCAGAATATGCAGTCTCTTTTATTGCTCAAACACCCGTGGAGGGGGGGTGGGTGGGGTATTCCCTTATATGAGCCATCTAGATATGTTCCACCCCTAAGGGTAGGGTTTTGTGCTGTTTTGGTCTGAATACGGGTATAGAGTTTGCCCATTTTGGTCTGAAATCGGGTATGGTACTTGAGGGAACTAGAAGAGCTTATGAACAAATTTGTCCATCAATTCCAAAAGAATATGAAAGAAAGAATAATCGGCTCCTGGCAAATTCCAAATGAATTCTAAGAAACCTTTTTCTTAGCGCTTATTTCTGCCTATGCCGGTCTGAAAACAGGTATAAGTGTTAGAGGCCGGGTCTGAAAACGGGTGTGGAAATGGCCTTTGTTAGTTTGAATCGGTCGGCACGCCCCCACCATGCATTCCCAGGAGTACCCCCAGGCTCAATAAAACTGAGGTCACAAAAAATACCCAAAAAACTTTCACATTTGGCAGAATTACTAGCACTGCAGAAGAGTGAAATATTTTGAGTAACTTTGCATGATTGCGGGGTTTGACTATGTACTAGCTGCTGCTACATACCGATTGGCGTCTAGTTTCCCTTTCTCCTGATCTTCTTGTCTAGCCTGAGCTACCCCTCAAGGGGTTGAAGGCCTGGGTCAAAGGAGTGTTTGGTGATTGGCAATATCTCTCGCTAGGATACATAGAGAAAAATGAATTTTTTCCCAAAAGTAAATCTTGAGGTCCTCTTGTGCCTTGACGTTTAATTATGGTCACGTGACCAAAAATTGAAAACGAAGGAAGTTGTCGCATTGGATTGGATAAATAAATCGACTATTCAGATAGAGGGTAAACATACCTTACTTTCTTACATTTGGAATAAATGTATGTGAAGTTTAAAAATAAAGTTTTAAACAATTTTTTATTGAGGTGCAATGGATAGTAAAATTCTAAATGTGAAGTGTTAGAAATATTTACAATGAGTGAGAAAAAATTGTTATTGCTTGATTCTTTTCTTAAACCCGCCACCAGGTTGTCAGTTAAGATTGTTAGCAAAATGATCACATGATATATCATATGAGTTATACAATATTCAGACTTCAAAATGTTAAGGACATTGAGTTTTTTATGGGTGCCAAATTTTGATTCAGCCCATGATCTGTGCCAAAGTTATAGCCAATAAATTATTTGCACAGGTCAACCACTCTGCCCAGGTGCTTTAAACTACTTTATGGAAAGTAAAGGGCAAAGGAATGTTTCTTTGAGGTGTCTGTGTAATAGGAATGTCTGATCTGTTAAGAGTGTTCCCTGTGATATATATTCAGTGTCCCATAAATAAGTCCCAGAAATAATAAGATACCCCTCTCGGATACCTTTAAAAGCGGCTCATCCCCACAATGATAAAATTTATACACTTTCCATGCTGAGAAGTGTGTGACTACACTAAGCAAGAACAGTGTTTCAGTAATTTTACCATAACTTCAATCAGAAAGTCTACACCAGTGATGACAGTGATAATTTCACCTTCCCACCCTAAAAGATCAGACATTGTCCACTTCGGGACAAGGTTTAAAAGTTCATGGACTGGTCAACTTCACTGATGCTCTCTTAGGGTTAGGGGTTATTCACAGAAGACTTCATCCTTAGACAGCATCAACAGGGACAGTGAAATTAAGATTCCTGAAGTGTGGATGCCTATGATCAGACAACACAACAGCCTATTGGTACCAAAACAGATGGCTGAGAGAGGTTTGCTCTTCTATTAATGCCAAAAATGCTTTGGATCAAAATCCACCTACCATAAGTGAGGTTTGTGACACACCATTCACTACCAACCATGTTAATGCTAATAGTTCCTTCCAGTAAATTGACACTATCACCTGATGGAGAACTGCAGTATGTGGTGAAATGTTGCAATCAATAACTAAGTGAATATCATGAGACAAATTAATAATAAACATCAAAACTCTTTTCAGATCGTTTTCACTGTCACGCAACAAAAAAATAAATTGGAAACCATCCAGTGGAAGAAGCCAAGAAGCCAAGAAAATGAAACGTTATAAAAGACTAATTTTTAAGTCTCAGGTCTTTGTGACCCACAGTTTCTGAGTTATTCGCTGAAACGTTTCATGCACCTTTGTAGACCTTTGTATGGAGACGCCATATTGGTGCACCAATATGGTCACCGGAAATCAACAAAAACATCTGGAGTTCACTTTTTCTATAAAAGCTATTTCTTTTCACTCGAGAACTAGCATACGTGTGCATAAATATACCTTCTAATACTTGAAATGGTTATACTGCTGAAAATCAAAAGGAGAGACTTTTTTTCGACAAGACAGCATTCCTATTTTGGTGTCGCACACTGTGAAAACTCCGAAGTTCAAATCACTGTATTTTCAAAACGAAACATGCTACAGGAATGGAAACTTGTACAGAGATTTACTTTTTGTTTATCTTCAACCAAGTGTAAATAAGAATTCGTAAAACCTCGATATTTTGACTTTACAATTTAATGACATCACTATGAAAACCATCTATACCCAAATTTAATTTGTCACCAAGCAAACCCATAACAGCGAATTACAATGATTATTATAGGCTAAGAGTCTTAATCCTAGCATCTAAATTTAACTAAACTAAGAGAACATATAAATCTCATTTTAAAACAAGAAGAAATATGTGTACAGAATAGAAAAAAGTAGTAACAACTATTGCTTTGGCAGGTTACACAATCAAGTTTTGTCTATGTTACAATTGCTGCAATGCTTGCTGAAACCTTTTTTTCTTGTTTTTAATTTTTGTTTGAAGCAGGATTCGATCCAAGTAAAAAGCAATTTTAAAAAATGTTTAACGCCACATTTGTTGTAATATAAATGGGAAAAAATGTCTCTTTTCTTGTTAATTTTAAGCGAAAGCCAACTATCAGCCTGTACCATTCATAATAACGAATCAATTTAACAAGAAAATGTAAAAAATATTTTAACTCTGGTATTGCAAATGTGAAACTGGTTCGACTAAACAATGTGATGAGTCATTTGTGATTCTATCTCAAACTTATCTGAATCCTAAAGTTGTGTTCGAGTCAAGAGTCAAATGATCATGTAGTAACACGTGATTAAATGCACCCATAACTGACTATTGCCCTATAGTACCAACATTTAGGGCCTCTTAATAGAGCCTGTTCATGTGGGTAGTAACATGCATAAATGGAAAGACCTTTAAATTCAATAATGCTAATAAGTTTCTGAAACTATGGTAATCTACCAACATTTTTTAACCATTGGAAAGTAACAACTACCTGAAAGTAACGGCTACCCTAAAATAGCGGCCCTCTTTACCTACTACAATTTATTGAAAGTAACGGGGGCCATTACTTTTGGAATTCTACATTATGATATCACATAAACTACAGTGTTCAGGAATCCAATGTCTTCAAAGCTTCTTGACAGTTTGTTGGCTTTATAATTTACATACAAAACCGAACAAAAAAAGAAACATGCCAAATTATTTCTGACTTATTGACAGAATCATTTAATTTGGTGAATCTGGTCATAAGTACCATTCATCTGCCTCTAATAATCTGTCTGATAATCTGTCCCTTAAGTGTCAAAACAGCCATTGACACATTTAAAGACGAGGACGCTTTGCTGATTTATTGTTGGTAATTTGGCATTTACCAATTTTGTTCACTGCTTGTGGTTTGTTCATGTACCACACAGGATCTTCATTCTTCACATTAGGTTTAACTGCTAAGTAAAATGAAGAATCAGGCTTTTTTGCCTCAGAGGGCCTTTTCTCTTCAAAGATCTTATAACAATTTACTGCCCTACGTTGCAATGGGTGCTCTCCCTGGCCTCCATAGGCTCTGGAATCACCACCTTTTAAAATCAGCCTCTCACTGCCTGTTTGCGGATTTCTGTGTAGAGAAACGTCTCCCCATCTCAAGCAACGGCTCCCAATTTTTGTGCGCTTGCCAAAAATCTCATTAAAATCTTGAAAAAGAAGTGCTTGTACCAGCATTGGAAAACTTCTCATCTGATCATCAACCTCTGCTCGTGCTCGTTTTCTGTTTTGCTGGGGAGGAATTTGGGTGGGGCTCATGTTTGATTGTGAGGGTTGACTGATGTCGCCTGTAAACAAAAAAGCAATAAGTTTAAAGCCATGCTTATTAGAAAGAAAAAGGTAATCAAAGAGAGCTCCTATTTCATTATTAAGTGACTGACATTTCAACAACCTGTGTGGAAGTCACCATCAGAGTCAAAAACATCTCATGTCCATTGTCCATCCTAACATTTGCTCTGTAGGGTCGCGCAAAAATTTCTATCTTCTTAAACAGACCGTTCGCAAATTTTTTTGCAAGCATATATCTAGAGGATATTAAACAGTGGCGCGAAGATATGAATTTTATTTTCGCGTGACAGAATAATATTTTACGAACGAGCGCAGCAAGTGAGTAAAATATTGTTTTTGCCACGAGAAAATAAAATTCATATCTTCAAGCCGCCGTGTAATGTTCTTTTTATTATATAGACAAAATGACATCGACAAAATAATAGAGGGAAATTACCAAAATTACGTCATTGATAAACTCATGTGTGAGATTATGGAAAATAAACGACTTGGGTCCCGGATGTAGTTTTTATGAATTTTACGAGTGGTAATTTTCCAGTAAAACACTCGTGTCTATAATAAATAGCATGAAAACTCGACAAACTTTGCCCAACTTTTCTGGCATTAATTGAATTCCAAAAATAATGGTGCAGTTTTGTTGTTTAAAGCTATATTTAGGCAATTTAATAGCAGGAAACAGTTGCAATGAATGGTAAGGATGGGCATGTTTGACAACTTTTTTACAACTCTACAGGAGCATTTTGTGATTGGTTAAAGGCACTAAGTAATAACTAAGTAATTACCAATTAATTACTTGACTGGTCAATTAATTCACAATGTTATTATAACATTCTGAGTGCAAGCCCTGCATCATAGTGAAGTGAGGCATTGTGTTTTTCCTCCAATGTTATAGCCTTGTTGTTGGTTGGAGTATGGTAATGAAATAAACTACTAGTATAAATAATTGAATTACAAGTGTCTGTTGAATATGTAGAGATGAAGACTGCTGGGCCAGGTTGTTCAAATTAATCCTGGGTGAAATGTAGCCTGTTCCAGGCTCCGAGATAGTCGGGCCCGCGGAATTGAGAGCGAAAAAAAAAACGGGAGGAAACTGGGGAGAGGGGGAGGGTTTGCGCGCCCTACACTTTCGCGTCTTCCCAACTAGCATATGAGTTGTCATGGTAACTAACCCTGGATTAATGCTAACTGTCTGGTAAACTGACAAATTTGACTAACAAAATGGGGGTGTTCACAGCAAAAAATATTTCCCTTTTGCAACAGATGAATGAGAACCTTTTGCACAGGAAAACCTCAAAACAAAGTTTAACTCACACTTCTCATCACAACCCTCCCCCACTTCTCTCCTAAGAAAGGTGTGTAGAAAACTGAATTGTCAATCATTTGGTCTGAAGGAGAGCTCTTCATGTTACTGGGCAAAGTAAATTCTGGTGGCAAGGCAAACGAAGTGCAAACTAACATTTGCAGGTTACTGAGGATGAGGCTGGAAACCTTGTTGGGAAAGAGAACATGTGAGATTTGATGGTGATATAATGTCCACATACCTCTATTCACCAAGGTCTCAATCAAAGACAAGAGTTTCTGGCATTCTTCTTGTGAAGAATACGTCTTCGCGTAGTTCTCCCGGAGACAAATTGCTTTTTCCCGTCTTTCCTGAACTGTCTGATTTGACAGCTGCCGGATTTTGTTGGCCCATTCGTTTGGATCATCATGTGATTCAACAATGACACAATTTGCGCCCTCCACCTTTTGGAGAGCTTGAGATATACCAGCTTGTTTTGACACAAGCACATTAGTATCAGCCGAAATGGCCTCCAACGCAACCAAACCAAAGCCTTCTACTCGAGATGGAAGAACCACGACATCAGAACTGCAAAACAGTTTTTTCAGTTGAGATTGGTCAACAAAACGGCAAATTGTCAATTGTTCACGAGTTATGTTAGTTTTCTTTAGAAACCACTTCTCTAGTTTTCTTTGTTTACACGCTGGTGAACCAACAAACTTCAACTGATAATTCTTTCCAAGAGAGCCTATCGCGTCTGCGATAACGTCGTAGCCTTTGAGTTCGCGATCCTCAAAGTCTGCTCGACCACAAACCAGACATATGAAATCCTTCAACCCTTCTGCCCCATGTACCTGCCATCGGGGAGGTTGATTCAGCAAAAAGCTCGGAGAAATGCACGGGGTAAATACGTGGACATCGATATCCGAGAGATCTCTCTGATACTTCTGCTGCAGCGCGGGCCCTACTGCTACCACTTCATCGGCTACTTCACAAAGTTCTATTTCATCTGCGTGCTTTCCTTCGTTTTCATCGATTGTATCAGGTCGTAGACAATTAGCGGTGCCTTTTGACGTCTTATATTTTCCTAGATCGGGACAATATACGTGCACAAACTGCAACAGTTTGCAGGGTATAAACTTCTTCATAAAATAAGCCGGCAAGCCAAACTTCCTCCCATGCCCAATCACTACATCAACATTGGGTATTTCTGGCGGTGGAAACTTCAACCTTTCGTGAGGGTTTGCCGTACCAGGTATCTTCTGTGCTGTCACTAAGTTTACACCATTCTTCTTCGCGTCTTCTCTGTCTGCTTCATCGCTGTTGGACACGTAACAATGTACACTGACTTTTCCCCGTGATTCCCTTGCCAAATTTATAAGCAATTCTCTGTTAAATGCCGACAAACCACCCTTCGAGGGCTTCCATTCGTCGCAAATAGCCAAAATGTCGATAGGACGCTCAGGTTCAGCCATATGTTCAGCCATGTGTTGCTTCGATTCTGTCTCTAACAATCGCCAAATCGAATTTTGCGGGCAATTTTCTGTACTTTGAGCCTGCAATGCTATGGAGTGCGGTCAAACGAGAGAGCATGCGCAATGCACTCGTACCCGGTCCCGGCCGGGGAAGTTTCCCGCGCGAAATTTTAATTGAAACCATATATATTGCAGAAACCGGTGTCAGGCAAAATATAGTTGAACGATCGTCAGAAATATGCTAAGGTGAAGCGAAATACTTCAAAGAGAAGGTTTTTGTTTTAACCATTGATAGTTAGATAAATTTTCGTTCAGTTCTCTGAGTTCACTAAATTTTTTTGACCTTCACTAAAAAAGTTCTTCGTGAAGAGCCGACATACGAAAGCTTGTCTTCGCCATTTGTTTTGAATGTCACTGTTCCAAAGCGTGATGAGTCAAGGAAGGGAGAAGCCAACAGGAAGAAAACACTGTAGTCAAGACAGCTCCGGAGTATTGATTAAGTTTTATCGAGGGCAGAAGGGGAACCTGCTGAAGAATCATGGACTTACCTGAGGCATAGAAAAGCGATACTTGCCGAGGACAAACGCTGCTCCTGTCAATCTTCTTGGTTACACAGTAAAATGCATCTAAAATTCCAATCCTCGAGAGACTCAGACTGTATGCAGCATTTGACGAATTGGGCAGGAACAACCTGACAATGTTACCGACTTACAAACCTCTGACAAAATGGTGCAATAAATTATGCCAAAACCTCACCGTTCTTCAAAACCCTGGTTCTCAAATGGTCTCTTTATGCATCAGTCAATTGAAACCCCGGCCCCCCCGACCCCCGGGACATAGCGGGGAATTTAACATTTACCCAGTCTTAAAAGATGGCTTATTTCCCCGGCCCCGGGGCCAAGAGACCTGTTAAAAGCACCGCATAGCGGGGCATCTACACACATGGGGGGGACACTCTCATACATCACCTATACGGGTATGTGCCGCCCAACGGGGTCGTGATTTTGAAGCTCCTGATTTAGAACGGGGTATCCACTTCAGAGGCGTTTTCTAGAACGAGGTGTAAAAAATTGTGGATCACGGCTTTATCTTCTGCTTAAAATTGTTGCTGATTATGAAGAAGCATTTATTTGATGTATAAGTCGAACAAATAAAGAAATATCTTTTTAAAAAAACAGGGCTATTTCAATTTACAAACTTTCTAGAACGGAGTATAAAAAATTGGCCCATTTCTAGAACGGGGTATCAGTTTTAGGGCGAATTCTAGAACGGGGTATAAAAAATTGGCCCATTTCTAGAACGGGGTATCAGTTTTAGGGGAAAGTTTTTTTAGAACGGGGTGCCAATTTGGAGTTCCAGGCGGCACATAGCCACCCCAAAAATACCCAAGTGCCCCCCCGGGTCCACACACCGGAACCAAATGAAAGAAGCAACTCAAATCGGCATCGTTTGTCAAGGACACGTTGCAAAAGTTAAACTTTACCTGTTTTCGCTTCTATCACTAAGGACTCCAGGTTCCACTATTAATATTGTTTTCTTCTGTAATCGTCGACTGCTGCGAAAATTGCCCTTTTTTGATTAATAGACGCAATTTAATGTACAAGTTGACATTGTGTTGGGCGTTAACAAAAACTAGCCGGTAAGAATTATATTTGGTATTACATAAAAGCATGGGTGTATTTTTAAAATAAACACAGTTGGTTCAGCGTATAACATTAGTCATACCTCAGTGACTCGGATGGAAGTCTCGCCTTGTACTTGTTCTGCGTATCCATTCTTCTTGACACCAAAACGTTGTTAACGACCCACCTTATATCTGATAGGACGCCAAATAGTCGATATCTCAAACGGCTCGTAAATATCATAAGTCGATTTAAAATAATGCATTTATTTGAAACAACCTCGATTTTATAGGACGAAAATGCTTGTAACTGTTTTTTTTTTTTTCAAAATACTCTCTGTCAACAATGATTCAATCCGCATCAGCTTAAATTGGGCAGGCAACGTTCCGTATAAAATATGTAACTCCGTCCAAAAATGTTCAAACTTTAAATATTCTAACTTTAACCATGGCTTATCTTTAACCACTTCTTTTCGGAAAATTTGAAATATTTTTCAATCTTTATAAACGTATTAAACTGTTTAAAAAATCGACGAAATGTCCGAGGTCCTTTTTCTCGGGTGCTTTAACCGCTGCTCTTCCGCTTGTATCAACGGGCTCATATCGCCGCGACGCGAGGTACAGAATATGTTATTTATATGTTTCAAAGTTTGGCCCATGCCGAAACCGCTGAGGAAAACAACTTGCTTCGAAGAAAGTTGTTTTCGTTTTCGAGAGAAAAAAAGAAATCTTGGAAGACGAGAATTCGGTTCAATCCTTCGTGTTAAATCCCGGCTGTTCTCCCCGCTTCCGGTGATCGCACGTGCTGTTAAATCACCGCTCCACGGCCCCGGTTAACAGACATTGTGTTAAATCCACCGCCCCCCGGGGCCAACAGGCTGTTAAAAGAGCGTTAAATCCCGGCTATAGCCGCGTTAAACCCCGGGGGTCGGGGGGCGGGGGTTTCAATTGACTGATGCATTACTGCACTCAACAAGTTGAGATACAACAAATACCGTAATAAATGCAATTTTCTCATCAAAGTTGCCAGGAAAAAATTCTTCCATGACAAACTGCTCTCTCTCAGTTTAGATTTAAGAAAGACATGGTCAGTCATAAAACAGATTATCTGCAAAAAGGAACCTGAGCAACGTTTCAATAACATGAAGGATAGTTCTGGTTCATACTCAAATTCTACTCAGATAGCTACAAAGTTAAATAATTTCTTAAATAAAATCTCTCAAATTACGTATAAAGAGTTTCTAATTGGTCATTACGCAAAGTGTTTCTATCTTAACCCAACTTCTCCCACTGAGGTTGCTAATATAGTCCATTTTCTAAAAAATAGTAAATGTGAGGGTTTTGATGGCCTCTGTATTTCCCCTATAAAAGATACTATTCATTTAATAGCTGCCCCTTTGACCCATATCTGTAATCTGTCATTTTCTCAAGGTGTTTTTCCAGATAAGCTCAAAACAGCCAAGATCCTTCCCATCTTCAAATGTGATGACTATTCCTTGTTCTCTAACTACAGGCCTATTTCTATTCTCCCCTGTCTTTCCAAGGTCTTTGAAAAACTCTTTTACTTCAGATTGTCTGCATTTCTTGAAAAATTTGACATTCTTAGTCACCATCAATATGGCTTCAGACCACATCATTCTACAACTATGGCTATCCTCGAATTTGTAAACAAGTATATGAAGGCTTTGAAAGTAATGATTACACTATTTGAATTTTCTTAGACCTCAAGAAGGCATTTGATACTGTAAATCATCAGATACTTATTGACAAATTAAACTTTTATGGTATCCGTGGTATTCCTCTAGCTTGGCTCACCAGCTATTTAGACAACCGACAACAGTATGTTATGGTCACTGGTCAATGATACTGTTGTGTGTGGGGTCCTTTAAGGTTCTGTTTTTGGCCCCTTATTATTTCTCCTATACATTAATGAACTTTTTCTTTCTTCAAATTATCTTTCATTTATTCTTTTTGCTGATGACACCAATATTTTTCTTCGTCATAAAGACTTGGCTACTTTAACTAGAATGGTTAATCAAAAGCTTTCTCATGTCTCCTCCTGGTTTAACGCAAACAAGCTTACTGTTCATCCTGATAAATCCAAATTAATCATCTTCCATCCACAACGTAAACAGATCAATCCTTCAGAATTAAACATCTTAATAAATAACACCCCTATAGCACGGGTACAGGAACATAAATTTCTTGGAATAATAATTCACGAAAACCTTTCATGGAAACCGCACATCTCTTCCATCTGCGATTAAGTCGCTAAGGTTATAGAAATTTTGTCTAAATCGAGACGATACTTACCTTCGGTCACTCTAAAAACCTTATATAACTCCCTCTTTCTACCTTATATCAACTATTGTAACTTCATCTGGGCATCTACATATGCCTCCTACCTTGAACCCCTCTATCTACTCCAAAAGAAAGCCATTCGAATTATCACCTTCTCTCCTCCAAGAACTCGTTCTAAGCCTCTTTTCTCGAAGCTTATATTCTTTCTCTCCATTCACTTATAAATTTCATGTTTCTTGTGTTGTATTCTCACCCTTTAATCACCTTTTACCTGCCTCTCTTTCCTCCCTCCTCCACTTGAATAGTGATTTTCATGATTATCTAACTCGTTCTCGTTTCAACTTGCATAAAATGTCCCTCAGGTATCAATTTGTGATTAGTTCTCAAGCCTCGACTATTTGGAACGATATCCCCTTGACTGTTCGTGACAGCCTTACCATTAGTAACTTCAAAAAGAAACTAAAACTTCACTTTTTAAGCCTAAATTGAATTAGCGCAGGATTCTCATAGCTTATTGTTAGTTTATTTGTCACTAGTTATGGACTGTTATAGGACTGTTATAGGCTTGCATTCATGTGAACTTATTTAATTCCAGTTTTGTATCTTGTTTTAGTTTTGGTAGTTTAGCCTACAGTCTTCATTTCGATATAAAATAATTTCTGTCATTCCTGATCACAGGCCGTATAGGCCCCCGGCTTTGGCTTTACTGAGTTTGTACTACATGAGCGATGGAATAATAAAGTTAAAAAAAAGTTAAAGTTACACCAAGTTACAAGAAACTCGTGGGAGCTAAGGTTAATTTATTGTTGTTAGACTACGAGCAGTCTCTCTTTTTGCTTGGTCCGTCGAGCAAAACACGCGAGATACGCAAATGACCAAGTGCGTGGCTGCTTCTGGCGACATCGACGCTCGCGTGTTGACTACTGTACAAGGGCGATCATTGTAGATGTAGGTGGTGCGTACGCTGGTTCAGGTGCGGCTACCCGGAAGGTGTTAATAGCTTTTGGATACATACTTTTTTAAAAGGAAGCACTGAAAACTAAAAAGTTACCCTCCAGTTTCGATCTTGACTAAGTTTTGGTTTTTATTCATTAATTTATCAGACTAATAAATAAAAAAAGCTCACAGTTAGTTAATACACCCAAGGTACATACAGAAAAAGAAAAAACTGAATACAACGCAAAACCAAAACGAGGTTTACTGCGTTAGTTCAGTAATCATTGCATTTTAACTAACTTGCATTTTATCTAATACGTATTCCTATCCGTTGTTAATTTCGACGAAGACCGGAACATTTATCTAGTATCACAACACCACTCTAGTTACAGTGTGACTAATGGAACCGGGGCACTTGGAAGAAGATTGACCAGTGGCAACGATTTCTCAAAACAAAAGATTCTCAAGTTGAACCACAACATATACATTACTGCGCTATAAAAAGGTCCGTTTCCGTCAAACGTTTCTTATCACATCATAATAATGAAAAGAACAATGTTTACCGCCAAAACTAGAATCGCTCAGTTCAATGGCGCTTTACAGTCTAATAATAATAATAATAGTCATGCATAATTTTATACACAGCAAGTTTGCTTTCTTAAAAATACAGGCGTTTTAAAATAGCCTCCAGCGGTAGCATTGGTCCCTGAGTCTAAAACTATAAAATTTATCACAGCAGCTTAGAAATTTACTTGAGAGCGTTGATTTGTTTTATTACTTTTCTAGTAAACGTCCGACCTCACATTCTGGGACGATACAATTCATTACCTGTTAAATAACATTGAACGCGGTTTATAAAAAGTGGTTAAAATTGAGACAACTTTTTAAACCATTTAATCGCAATGTTTCTCAGAAAAACGAAAAAAAATGTCCTGGAATTTCTTTGTTTGGGTGTTTATTCGTCTCAAAGTTTTTCTGATGAGTGAACTAAATGTCCTGTCTATGACAACCTAAACGATTGAAACTTTTATTTTTGTGTCCACCCCGATTTTTCTCTTTTGTGCGATACTATTAGACATGTATGCATGCCATTGCTAAATACATGAGTCCTTTAACGCTGAGTTAGACTGTGAGCAGTCTCTCTTTTGCTCTAAAATCTGTAAGCGAGAGTATTTGAGCAGCGAAGTTGCGAGGGCGCGTATTCGTTTGTATTTGCGCACTCGCAACTCGCGCGACTTCGCTGCTCAAATACTCTCACTTGAAGAGTTTCGGGTAAAAGAGAGACTGCTCGCAATCTAACGCTGATTTTTCGGCTTCTCGTGATATTAATAATTTTGCTACTTCAGAATTGATTTTGTTCATTGCGCTAATCAGCGAAGTTTTCCCCCAGAGGTCTTTTGAAGACCAAGTAATACAGCTTGTTGATAATGAACATATCTCCACCCTCTGCAGAAAAGTGGAGGACACAGACGCCATCACTGTCTTTCAAAGATGGATCAGCTCCACGTTGTAACAGCATTTCAAAAGCACCTTTTTTGCCACCAAGGGCGGCAGTTATCAGTGGAGTGATACCAGTACTGCTCCTTGAATCAACGTCAAGACCAAGTGACAACAGCTTATTGATGATGGATGTATTTCCACCTTTTGTAGCCTTGTGGAGCAGACTGAACCCATCATTGTCTTTCAAAGATGGATCAGCACAGTTTTTTATTAACAGCTGAAACGCACTTTCTTTACCACTAAACGTTGCGTTCATCAGTGGGGTCGCACCAGCGTTGTTCCTTGAATCAATGTCAAGACCAAGTGATAACAGCTTGTTGATAATGGATGTGGTCACATTTCAAAAATGCATCAGCCCCACTTTGTAACAGCATCTCAAAGGCACTTTGGTCGCCACGATTAGCTGCAGTCGTCAGTGGAGTGACACTGTGATCGTTCCCTAAATCTATCTTAAGACCAAGTGATAAAACACTGTCTATGATGGATGCATTTCCACCCTGTAGAGCATTGTGGAGCATACTGTACCCACCGTTATCTTTCAAAAACGGATCAACACCGTTTTGTATCAACTGCTGAAATGCAATTTCTTTGCTGCTATACGCTGCTTTCATCAGTGAAGTGGCACCAGCATTATTCCTTGAATCGACGTCAAGACCAAGCCGTAGCATTTTGTTGATAATGGATGTATCTCCACCTTGTGCGACCCAGTGGAGTAGACAGTTGCCCAGGTTGTCTTTTAAAGACGCGTCAGCCCCATGTTTTAACAACAACTCAAAAGTACTTTGTTTGCCACAACAAGCTGCAGCCATCAGTGGAGTGACGCCGTAATTGTTCCTTGAATCTCTCTCAAGACCAAGCGATAACAGTTCGTTGACAATGGATGTATTTCCACCTTGGGTAGCCTTGTGGAGTAGACTGCAACCGTTGTTGTCTTCCAAAGTTAGATCAGCACGGTTTTGTATCAACAATTGAAATGCGCTTTGTTTACCTCTAAGAGCTGTTCTCATCAGTGGAGTGACGCCATCATTGTTCCTTCAATCAGTTTCAAGACCAAGTGATAGCATCGTGTTGATAATGCATGTATCTCCACCTTGTACAGCCCAATGGAGCAGACAGACCCCCTTGTTGTCTTTCAAAGATACATTAGCCCCAAGTCGTAACAGCATCTCAAAAGCACTTTGTTTACCAGCAAGAGCTGCAGCCATCAGTGGAGTGAAACCGTCATCAATGGTCAGTCAAAATTGAAATAGAGAGTTTTCAGCTCCACTTTTTGTATGTGGGTGTGTTTTGTTTATATATCCGATTTTTAGCGCTAAATAAGAAGACATGTGTTGCTAGGTGATCGCACCTCTTATTCCTATCTTTTTTTAATAGACGTTCCACTCATTAGTTACTAGAATGGAGTATATTCAAGAACCAAAAGAGTTGGGGTTTACTTTAGAGCCACCTCTTGGTTTCTATAGAATTTTTTATACCCTGTGCAATACTTTCTACAGAGGCAGGTAAACAAAGATGGACATTTTTACTTGATAGGCAGTTTTTCGCTTTGCTGCGCTTCGACTTCATTTTCAGATCACGTTTTGCCGAAAAATTAGTACGATTCCCCATGCATTCGCCTAACCTCCTTTTTCCTTCTTTTGAAGTAAAGATTTTTCAGTTAACTTCTGTGTCTTGGTTTTGTTTATAACTGATTTTTAGTAAAAATAATTTAATGATTAAAGATTTTTCAGTTAGTACAATCTGCAAAGATAGCATGTTCAAAATTTGCCAATCAAAAGACTAAAGCAAATTGCTGATTATATCAAAAAAATCACTTTTCTATTTATAGATTATGATCTCAACATTTTCTGATGACGTCAACCCTTGGGTATTCTGACGTCACTTGCTCCTTGTCAGCTAAAAATAAACTATGACATCATCCTATCTTAATGATATGCATGACGTCACCGGCGTTAATTTAAGGTATGACATCATCCTATTTTAATGAGATCTATGACGTCACCGACGTTAATGTATTCCCCCGCAAGTTAATGAAATTCCCCCGCAAAAAAACGGAGTAACCGGTCCCTCCCCCACTACTAAAGGAACATCAAATAAAATAAGAAATCGCCGATTTCTTACGGATTTACGCACTTTCGTGGGATGCAGATCGCAGAGTCAAAAACAGTAAAAGTCCTCGTCATTTTTTTTCCTTAAAAAATACAAGGTGATGGGCTCCTGACAACAACAACAACAACAACAACAGTGTTGTAGCAAACATTATTGTAACTTGTACTTAAACAAAGAGAAGATCATCTTAGTTCCGGAGATAAGCCATTTTTGGAGTTGCGCAAAGAATGCGTGAAAACGTTCAGACTAGTTGGAATCACCAACCCCGGCGTCTGCGGTTCCGGCGCAGCCGACTCTAACCAATTGACCTTGCCGGCTAACTGAGGATATGGTCATTAAACTATTTTTCTGAAAACTACTTGAATGGTTTGTAGCATACCCGGGAAATATTGTTTCAGCTTTAAAGGATAGGTATTGTTCCTTTACAGTTCACATTTCCACGAACATATAAAACACTTCTGGTGTAAATATAATTAGCTCATGAAAATTGTTTAAACAGTAAAATTCAAGCCGGCATTTTATCCAAAGTAAAATAAAGAATATAAAGAACCTTGCAAAACGAATTTCTAGATTTCTCAAACGCATAATTGACATTACCAAGAAAAAAAAAGTGTATTTCGTTCAATCAAGATATACTGCCTGGAATGGAAAAGAAACAGGTACAAGAACGGGAACAGACAGATAAAACTAAGAGTGCGTTCGATTTTCAGGATCTTCTAAGTATCTGTTAGGAAAGTTTGAAAGAACTGCTGTAGAGGTTGCAGGGGCACCCAAC